AACCTCGATCGTATTCAAATTGTCCTACTCTAATAGCACTATAAAATCTGATTAATATAAGATATTCAATAATTTGATTGGGTAGGTCAATCATTCTATTAGTGTGCATCACTCATCTATTATGTAGGATTCTATTAACCTACCATAGAAAGAAAAGGAAAAAGGTTAGTATCAAAGCATAGAATTTATAATCTATAGTAAATAGATTTTACTTACATTATCATTCCACACACGTTTTGAAATATGTTGAGGTTGCAAGTACAAAAGAGAGTTATCCTCTAGGCCAGGGTTGATAATCTCTTCTGGAGATTGTGCCATTTTAAAACGTCTCTGTATAAATTAAAGAAAAATTTACAAATAACATAACAGATAATCAAAGTAATTATAGTCTAATCTTCATAAAACATACTAATTTATTACAACAAGTGAACTACATAATTTATTGTTTGGATGCTACACTTTGTGGACACGTAGAATGATTATGACCAACTTGTCGGCACAATGCACACTTGTTAGGTTGGTTGGGAGTGATCCAATCGATTTCATTATATATGTGACTTGAATGAGGATGTCTTTTTTCTCGAATCACTAATGGGTCTAGTATTAGAGTAGGACAATCAATTTGTGGCCAGTAAATCTCATCACCCATTGGTTGGAACTCATTATTATAAGCCATTTGCATGGTGTCTAATCTGAAAACAGGATCCACGTATTACAAATGGTCTATGCCTATTTATGCACATACAGCAATGCTATGCATGCATGGATACTTTTCTGCTTGAAACTCTCCACAATTGCATTTTTTGTCAATCAAGTTAACCTTGCAACACCGACGAAATTGACGACATTGAACATTGTAGGGCTCCACAACCTCAAATGATGTTGATATTCTGTCAAATTCTCGAGCAACACACGCCGAAGCATTTTGTGTTGCTATGTCTAACTTCTTTGTCATTGTCTCAGAGAATACTTTATCAACTGCAATTTGTGCATGAATTTGTTGGGCATGTTTGACAAAATAGTTGTTGACTCTATACATGATTGCCTTAACTAAACCAGTTATTGACTGGCTTCGAACACCTTTAAATACACTATTCATGCACTCTGCAAGGTTAGTTGTCATGTGTCCAAACTGACGGCCTTCAAGGTCATATGCACGCAACCATTTCTCTTTTGGGATGGCTCTAATCCATCTTGCTGCAAGTGCATGGTGCAATGCTATCTCTGCTAATTGTTGATCAACAACATGACATTCGTAGGCATACCCTACAGAAAAATATTAGCTTGTTAGAATGTTTATAGAATCATGTAGTCATAAAATCATAAAAAGCACAAGGAATCTCACCAATATTTATAAACTTCTCTTTCAACCAATTTGTTCCATGTGCTTTGTGAAGATTTGAAGCCACGTGCCGTAAACAAAAAACATGATATGCATGTGGTGGTTGCCATCCTACTTAGAGATTAGCAACAGCAGCCAAAATTGAACGATGCCTATTTAAAATTAAACAAATTCTCGTTCTTTCTTTTACTACACATTGGCGCACAAGGTATAAAAACCATGCCCAAGCAGATTTTGTCTCCCCTTCAACTATAGCAAACGCAAGTAGTACAACATTTCGGTCACCATCTTGTGATACTGCCATAAGCAACGTGCCCTTGTATTTTCCATATAAGAATGTTCCATCAACTTGTACAATAGGCTTGAGGTGAGAAAATGCATCTATGCATGGCTTGAACGCCCAAAAAACATGATGAAACATTTCAACTGGTTGATCATTTATACTAATTTGTACCATATATGGCATGTGAGACTTGGACACATTGGTTAGCAATTCATGATCAAACTAGCAAAGGAGGATTTAGTAACCATCTTAGGAGTAAGGAATATGAGATCTCCCAATTCCCAAAAGCAATCGCAATTGCTAATTGTTTTGCTTTCAATAATTTGTGACACTTTCACATCTAGCTTGTCAGTTACCATTGCTACAATACAAGATGATATGACATCAGCATCTAATTTTGGATAGTCTAGAGTTAATGATATACTCAAGCATGTGTGAGGGCCCCCATATTTCATGATCTCCCAAAAGTTTATGCTTTCTTTCTTGCAAGCCCTCACTCTCCAATTGCAATTTTGTCCATAATTAATACAATGATATTCTTCAGATTTTTTACATGAATAGTGAACCCTAAATGTATGATGAACTCGAATAGAGTATAACTTCACTGCACGTCTTAGAACACAGACATTACCAAACATTTTTCCAATATATAATTCTTCATTATCCCCAACATCTAGAATATTATCTAATTCACTAAACTCAGGAGCTCTAGCTGACTCGACGTGAATTTGTGATAAGAAAGCAGTTGCAAGCTCATTCTGCTCGTTCATATCATCATATTCATTATCGTTGTCATCATTATCACTCCCACTACTGGCATCTAAATATGAATCATATTCATCTTCATCCTCAAATTCATCCACAATGTCTTCTATTTGAGGAAGAGAGCATGATGGTCCATTGTTGCCACCGTCTATGGGAGGTTTAAATGGTTGAAAATTTTCCATGTCATTGCTGAACATGGACCCTTGTTCCATAATGTTCACCTCATTGCTACTTAACGGGAGTGTATTTCCTACACAATCATCCATTGGTTGTGATTCTACATGACCATAATCTAAAAAATTACATATGTTGGCATACAATTCTGCACATGTCAATTGAGTTGAAAATCTTCTTCTGACTTGCCACATTTCTTTTATATCTACATCATCCTCCAAATTGCATGCTTGGTATTGTGGTGGATTTATGCATGTAGAATATCTATATACTAGATTTGTCACCATTTGATTGGGAGGAAGTCGTAACTTTTGTCCAATAACTTGCTTCAATTTGTCCAATGTAATATTTTCATCAACTTTGATTATTTTCACGCTGTTGAACTCAAATGTTGTACCAGCTTGGCCATTATAAATTTGTCCATTTGCAAATATACATCTGAACTCCTTTCTATGATCCATTCTATTTCCTAAATATTGCATTATAATCATTAATTAAGTACAATTGGGAGAAGACAAAACTTTGAAAATAGAAAGACTCACAAATCATGGTTTCCCATGCATAGTTCGCATAGGTTTAAGTCTAGTGCTAAAAAAATTATTCATATATATATGTATTATAATTCTATTTTGATTCATTCCGTACCTTTTAATTAAATTTCTAATAGTTTTAAAAGTAATATCAAATCTATGTACACTATAGATTCTTAAAAATTAAATTTTTTATGATATTCATTTTTATTAATGAAAATTTTTTAACAAAATATTGCCACCTATTTTCTTATTAATAAAAATTTACTTTTATATTATATTTTATTCTCATTATTTTATCCAAAATATTTACTAAATAGGTAAAAATTATATTATTGTAAGAAAAAATTAGGGGGAAGGACCTAGAAAAATAATATTTATTGAGAAGAATCTTAAAAATTATAATTATTTATAAGGACCAAATACTAAAATATAAATTTAAAAATATTAAAGTACCCTTAACTAAATCCCTACATTTTTTCTTATCATGCTTCCATTGAATAGATCTTTTTTATAATCTCCTTAATTTGTACTAAAAAAATTTATAATCTTTTTCTTATCAATATTTATAACAAAATTTATTGAAATCAAATCAAAATCATTTATTATTAAGCTAAAATATCTTACATATTTAAACACAATGAAATGAAATTATTCATCTACATGAACACCCTTAGCGAATAGTTAAATTTTATCTGTCTTTGTTCTATTCCAATTAAAAAATTTTCTTTTTTTCAAACATCTCTTTCGTTACTTTTAATTTTATAAATTTTTTTACCCCATATATATATTTTATAAATATGTTTAAATGTAAATAAACATATTTTACTTGATTTCATTAAATACAATTTAAATTTTTATAATTATTTTTCTTAACCTCGGTTTTTTAAAACAATAAATAATTAAATGAACAAAATTATTCAGATTTATTTTTATATCTAAAATTTTTCATTTATTTTAATAATTTTTTAATTGTTAGTTACTTTAATACACACCCATCAAGATCGAGTAAAATAAAAAAAAAAAAAGAAAATTGATAGCAAATAAGGAATAATATGGGGAAAAAAAGTTAAAGCTATGAATTTTTTTCTTATATATTCATTTCAAAAAAAATCATATACTTAAAAGATACTCCTCTAGTTTTATTTATAAGACAGAGAGAGTGTAAATTTTGATCCTATATATAAGGCACTTGATATAATTTTTAATACAAACATACATAATTATCCTTATTAAGTTATTTGCACAGTTGGTACATTTTCTTCACTCCTTTATCAGTGCTAAATGTCCTTCAATTTTGTCTTCTTCTTATGCTATTATTCTCGCATGTTCCACTTCTCCTCTCTCTCTCTCTCTATTCATCTTTTCCACTCTCCCTTGCTCATTCCTTTTGTTATTCACCTCTTCTACTCTTTTTTTCCTATGCCATTAGTTTTTTTCATGCATAACAGATCTGACTCTTGGAAAAAAAAAACTTGATGAAAATATACATTTTTGTGCTTGATTAGTGTTACTTTTATAATCAATTATGAGATAGTGGATGTGAAATTATTTTAACGGTTTTTTAATCTGTGTGAAATATACTAAAAGTGTCTTATAAATAGAACTAAATGGGTAATAGAGATCAAAAGAAAATCTTGAGATCTTAAAACTATACAATAGAGGATTCTTACCGGCAAAATAAGAGGCACCTAAGAGTATAGATTTTTGAAATTGTTCAACTCACCACTTAGTACCTGGAGATTTAAAATAACAGTTTATCAAATAAAAAATAAAAAAGAAAATCAAATTAAATATTATAATGACAAGATAAAAAATACATAAGAGAAATAACATACCATCAGCAGTAGTAAAAGTATGTGTCAAATGTTTGGAAGTAAGAGTAGAGAAACAAGACAGCAAAATAATGGAGGAGGCTGGAGTAACTAATAAAACGAGAGAGTAAGATGATGAGAGAGAAGAGAGAAGTCTGAATACATGAAGTGGGAACACAAGCTCAACATGTGGAGGACTCAAACGCATTCATGGGCTACTGGCATAAGAGGAGATGCAAAATGTATAAGTAAAGCTCGGACGATTCAGATGCATTCATGGGTGTAAGAGGAGATGTAAAATATATAGCAAGCCATGACGCTACTATAGCTTCACAGGCAAGGGAGATGAGATGACTTAATATTCTTCCCAGCTTCAGACACATGCAAAGAGTTCAGTTGCTTTTCTGACCTAAACAAAAGTGATTTTGAGAGATTCGTACGGGGAGAGGATGCTCATATGCATAGAAATGGGGAGAAAAGGACAAAAGTACTTTTTCTGAAGTTCATCACTCAAAGATGAACTTTACAAATTCATCTCTACCAGATGAATTTGCAAATTTTCCCACTTTATTGAAGAACTCGTTCTGGGCAAGATGAAATTTATAAATTCATCTCCTGGTGATGAATTTTAAGTATAGCATTTCGGTAATATATTTCCGCGCCGTAGCATTTTTGGTATTTTATTTTACTTTCATAGCATTTTGGTAAAAATCCCAGTCCGCTCCAATACTTTCGCTTTGCTGTTCAGAACCCGGCAAATCGCGCGCCCCATATCCGTCATCGTCTTCCTCTGGCGCTTTTCTCTGAATCTGGAGCAAGATGCATCTCCATGGTACTCTATTATGCCTAGCTTCTACCTTCATCTCCTCTCTTCGTAAATTTCACGTCTATTTGCATTCTTCTCTCACTTTCTCTCTTTTCAGATGGCAACCGAGTGGATTTATCTCGTGTGTTCGCCGTGTCTTTCGCCGGTTTTGTTGCCGTCTCTAACGCCTTGCTCCACCGACACGCTGCGTCGAAGCAGGTGGAGAAAGACGACAAGATCATCCCGAAGCTTGAACGGACAGAATCTGGTCGCGTCGGAAAGCTGGAGAAGTTCTCCCATTATGTTGGTACGTAGTTCTTGCACCCAATTTTCGGATCGAATAATGAGATTCTGAGATTCAGATCTCTCTGTTTCTGTGTTTTGAATAGCAGGTGGTTGATTTCATCCTGGTCTCCTCTTAGTCCTTTTATTTATTCTTTTCTTTTGGTTGACTCTCATGTTAGCTCAGTATTATTGTCGCTTTTCAACTCTACCTGATTCGGGGATGAGATTGATTTTTTATTCAAATAGCAATACAGAATCTTTCATATTTGAAAATTGAGAGTGACTGCAACTTGTTTGATAAAATGTCCGAATTATCTAGAGGGCGACGTTCTGGTTAACACCCTGATTAGTGCTAATTAATTTATGCTTATCATTTATGCAGTTATCTGAAGAAAGCACAATGACTAATGACTGCTTTTCAAAGAAACTAGTTGTAAACTGTTCATTCTAAAGGCAAAAGAATGGCAAAACTTTATGCTTTTGTGTTCTCTCTTTGATGGGACTTGAAATGAAATGTGGAGTGTTGTTAGGGAAACAGAGACATGAACTGTGTGTGTGGATCAATAATTTGCAGCTATGCAAATGGGATTTGAAGACCCTGAGAAAGTTCCTGGGCTATGCAAGTTGGCTAATGACTTCCTGAGAAAAACCAAAGACTGTGAGGCAAGCATATATGGATATTTTGATAAGGAGGATGGAGCTGAATCTCTTTATGAGATGTTGATTCATGAGTTCGACAGATGCATTCTCACTTACTTTGCTTTTCATTGGAACCAAGCTTCTGCTGTGATTAGCCAGGTAAAGTCGTTTTTTAAAATTATTTATGGTTTTATTCAATTAATCTTTCCTGAACATTTTTTTTTCAGAAAAAAAATTGAAAACTATTGGTCAAATTTTCTTTTTGTCCCAGTGTTTGAAAATTGAGTAATTATTTTAGATTTAGATGAATATTAACCGAAAACAAGCTAGACACAGAATGAAGACGATTCGTCCATTACTTGTGTAGCCTTTATGTGTTTATATGTATGTTTATTTATTTTGGAAATTTATTTCATTAAGTTCCAAAAAAAAATTGAGATGATCCAGAATTGCGATTTTTTTCCATTTATTTTCTCTGTAATTTTTATATATGTGTGTGTACTATGTGACATGTGGTCAAATAAAATATTGTGAATTTCGAGAGGGGAATTCTTACCAGAATAAAAAATTATAGGGATTGAAGAATGTGAATTTTTGCAATTGTTTTAGGGTTTACGATTCTGCATTCATGATTTTGAATGGGAACATGCCTTGTCTGCTCTACCTTTTGTAATATGTTAAATAGATGGGACAATTACACTCAGGTCCCACAAAGCACAATTAATATAAAAAAGGTTCCTCAAAATCGCGAAATGATTCTGAAGTCCCCAGGGACCTGTGTGTAATTAATTCTAATTGTGAAATTACGTAGTTACCCCTGTTAATTTGAACCTATTTACAACCTCAACAATGGCTGTTAACAACCCGAAAAAAGGTGGTTAACAACCTCAACAACGCCCCTGGCATTCCATAAAGTGAGTTGTCATGAGCACTGCCGAGGTTGTCAATCACTTCTTCTCGGGTTGTTAACAGCCACTGTTGAGATTGTAAACGAATTGCTACAATAAAATTAGAACCTATTTATAACCTCAATAACGGCTGTTAACAACCCGAGAAGAGATGGTTAACAACCTCAACAACGCCTCTGGTATTTCACAGAGTGAGTTGTCATGAGCATTGCCGAGGTTATCAATCACGTCTTTTCGGGTTGTTAACAATCACTGTTGAGATTGTAAACGAATTGCTACAATAAAATTAACAGGGGTACGTAGGTAATTTCACAATTAGAATTAATTACACACAGGTCCCTGGGGATTTCAGAATCATTTCGCGATTTCGAGAGACCTTTTTGATATTAATTGTGCTCTGTGGGACCTGAGTATAATTTTCCCTAAATAGATTGTCGGGCACATTAATAAAACTCAAAATATTATTAAAGAACTAATTACTGATTAGCTTTGGATTTTCTTTTTCTCTCTTGATACGAAAAAGTCAGTCTTGGCTCATGAGTACTGCTACGCTTAATAAAGATAATATTCCTCATCTCTAAATATAATAACTATTTTATAGTGTAAATTATATTATAAAATCAGTCTTATATTTGAGACATGAAAAGTGCTTTTTTTTTTTTTTGCTGAAGCCAAATAAATAAACATGAAAGTTTTAGACAGATAGTTTAAAAAATTAGATGAAATTGATTATAAAGGCGTGAAAATTCTTTAAAATAAATTTTTTGAAATGTACTCGATTTGCCTTGGAATACTTGGAACTGAGGAAGCCAAATCCGAACAATAAATTTTAAAGAAGTTTTCTAAGGACAGGCCACCAGACAATGTTATCGATTATTAATTCGACTCAATGAAGATGAAGTTTTATTTTTAGAAATAGTGAAAAAATGGTACTTTAAAATAGCTTGTTGATTTTTTAATTACAATTAAAGGATAAGGTGCTTAAATACCTCGAAACTATACACGAAAGAGCACCTAACACCTATTAGTTTTTTTAACTCTTATATACCCTGAAATTCTGATCTCCTAGCATGTCTGTCTTAAGCTATTATCTGCTATTAAATTAGACTATTAAAGACATTGGTTGCATTACATAATTTAAAGGTCAAACTTAATGGCAGATAATAGTTAGTACATTATATAAAAGCTAAGAAAAACTTTTGTGAATATTTCTAGGGTATTTTAGATCATTATTCCAATAATTAATAACATGTATTTTGTTACTTATCTATTATTACAATAAAACGAAATTTCTACTTCTACAGTAACACTCTAATCTTAAAACGATTTCATATGCTTATGGTTGATATAATTTATTTTTATATATTAAAATTTTTGGGCTTTCTTTTTGGGTTTTAGGCATTAAGCAGTGAGCCTGGGAAGCAAACTCGGCTGAAGGAGGTCGTGTTGGCTGCTACGAGGTGACTTGCCCCCCCCCCCCCCCAAAAAAAAATATATGCATGTATGTGTATGTGTATATGCTAAGGCCAAACAATAATACGCTTGTTTCTCGAATAATTTTTATTAACGAAGGATTCATATTATTAATATTTTTAACTGAATTTTATATTTTGTTGTTCAATTATTTTAATGGAAAAATCACAGGAAAATATCATTAAAATATCAAAATCCCAAATTAAGAATTTGAATTTCAGTAAAATTTTGAAATGTGGAAAAGATAGCATCACCCCTCAAATTTTTTTTCTCAATAGAAAATAACACCTAAGCAGCTTTTGCAGGTTGTAAGAGATTTGACACCAACGACCCCTTGTTGACTATTGGCATGGATCTTTATACGTTTTTCATATTTTCAAAACAAGAGTGATAAATAGTGAAACCATAAATAGCAAAGTAAACGTAAAGGGTAGTGATGTCTTTTCACACCATTTCAAAGTTCCAAGTTATTAAAATTCAAATCCCTAATTTGGTATTTTGATATTTTAGTGGTATTTTTCTGTAAGTTTTCTGTTTTAATTTCATTAAAAAAATATATATTAAACATACAACTTTGAACAAAATAGCCAGTGGCTTATACGTGTGTGCCAGCGGGGGTCTCGGGCCTGCGGGTGCTTGTCTGGTTCTATGTGACAGAGAAGTAATGGGCTGGTCCCATGTGCATCTTAGGCTTTTTTTTTTAAATTAAAAAAATGTGTCGTTAATTAAATTTAAGTTATTAAAAACATCTAAATTAAAACTTTATCTTGTCTTTCCTATTCTTATTAATCTAAACATATCTTGAGAAATTAAGAAATGTCATTTTTAATCTGTGCTTGGATTGTTTATTAAACACTTGAAATTAAAAACTACAAAAAAGGAAGAAGCTAGGGGAAAAGTCAGCAATTATTGTATAAGTAAATGAAATAAATGAAGAGGAGATTGATCTGATTAGGGATTGTGGTGCGTATGCAGGAAACTGAGGTTTGAGAGAGTAACAAAGGTTTTGAAGGTAACAAGGGTGTTCTCTACATTGGTAGAGGAGATGAAAGTAGTAAGAGGAGAATCCCAATGCACAGATGTCATGGTCCCGATGGCCCTCGGTGAGAGGAGTCCTGTCCTGCTGCTCATGGGTTGGGGAGCGGGTGCTGGCAAGAGTACTCTTCTTCAAGACATTCTCAAAGAGTAATCATCTTCCTTCTCTTATTATTCATACACAGCTGGTTGTGAAATATTTGTTATTCTATTATATGATTAACTATTAATAATTTTAAAAAATTAGGTTAAATTGAAATTTGGGACAAAAATGATTTACGAATTAATGACTCGAGTGTGATTACATTCTGATTGAAATGTTTTTTGAATGTGTGTGTAAGATATGAATATGTGCTTTAGTTCAACTCAATTTTAAGTAATATCATTTAATTACTAAAGCATAGTTAAGTTTGTTTGCTTTTTCTTTTGTTTTTAATTAAAAAAAGGATGGCTTTCTGTTTTTGATAAGTTTGTTCCCGCTTCGTAAACTTATACATGCCAAATGGATTTGGCAGGCCATTCTGGGAAAGAGCATCGAAAAATGCTGTGGTGGTTGATGCAGATGCTTTTAAGGAGTCTGATGTTATATACGAAGTCCTTAATTCTAGGGGCCACCACGATGACATGCTCCAAACTTCGGAATCGGTATGCTCCTAATGCAACTTCTTCAAGCAATTATTTTGCCTGATAATTCTGTTGCAGCTGGGGGAAGTAATGCATGAGATATAATTTGATATTATATAATTATTCATTGAGGTTTAATGTTCGATAATATAGTATTTTGTTGAGTGATATTTAGCTCTCTTGACAGTTTCTCGCCATCTCAATATGATTCCTGTTTATGTCAAATTTAAATTGCATGTTATCTAACGGCGATAACTGACTCTTGCCTAAACTGTTTTGGGGTTAGATTGAGAGGGGTTTTATAATGAATCTCCTAGTCATGTTGGAAGTTGATTAGTTTTCTTTCTTTCTTTCTTCGTTTTGTTTTTAATTACAACTATGTAGTTATATTGGAGCATTGTTGGACTCCAATGGGAATAGCTCTCTCAGCATGATGTTTTTCCTTCACAAGTTTCAAATCCTCGATCTTGTTGAAGGAAAGAATGAGTCTTGGTCCCTTTGACCCAACCTTTGTTGTTATATTGGATGTAGATTGATCAAAATGTGGCTTGCTATAAGTTTTATATTTATTTGATTGATATTACAATAACAGCAACAAGTTTTATCCCATTAAATAGAATTAGCTATATGGATTGCACAACATATTGTGCTATATCAACAGCTAACAGCTAACCGTTTGGAATTTTATATGATTGATATTGATATTAAATTGCAGAAGGAGAGTTTTAATTCTTAATCCCTACACATAGATCTCCTTCCTTCCTTCCTTTTTTTACCACTTGTGAACTAGCTTCAAGTGGCTGAATACCTGTATTATATTCTTAGCAAATTAAATGGTAATTTTTTGAAGTACCCTACAAACACATGGTTGCATTTGTGTAGCTCATAGGATGGAAGGAGGGGGAGCAGAATCTGCTTATGGATCTTGAGGAGATCAAATGCTTGGAATCCATAGGGAATCTGAATGCTGAAGCTGATTCCATCTACGAACTGCACAAACCATCCAGCCCTGCTCTGGGGCCCGGTTCCATCTGGAATGACATAGTTTTGTCTCCTTCAAGAGAAACTGATCAGAAAGTGTTGAGGGGTCCCATTTGGAAAATTGAAAAACTCCCCACAAACTAATAATTAACCATTGTGAATGACCTCGTGACTATGAAGCTGGAAGCTGTTCCCACAGCATATTGAAGAACCACGTTCAATATGTTCGTGTATCTTGTTTGTCAATATTCATGTTCTACAAGTAAGGTTATTTATATGCCCTTGCTTTCATGTCAAGATGTAAATAGACTCGGAGTCATTTATCACGCGGTATGGAATTATCCCCCTTTTTCTAGGTGGGGGGAGGGGTGTTAAGGCCTCGAGGATCACATTCCCTTCAAATTCTAGTTAGAATCCTCATGCGGTGCTGTGGTTGTTGCGGCCATTGGAGATAAAGAGTGGCGGTAGGTGAAGATACTGTGAAGAACTGAACTTGAGAGTTTCTGAAAACCCCACCTTCTCTTTCGATTCTGTGGTTCTGTTCATCATACTGACATAATTATTTCTTGCTTTTTTGGGTGGTTTCTTCCCAAGTTTCTCGTTAGCCATTGTTCCTGGGAGGATTTTCTCAGTACCCTTTAATTCAAACGGAGAAAAGGCTCCATATTCTCCATCTCCTGTTAATACTTCAGATTCCACATAAATATCAGAAGCTCAAGTTTTATCTGCATCGGTAAAAATTGAAACGGCTACTTCCAAGAACGGTGCAGGTGAAAAGCTTGATGAAGAATCGAACCGTAAAGGCACAAAAGAAGTGGGCGTTACTAATCAGAAGGACAAGAAGCTAAAATTCAAGCAAAATTGACCCAAGTGAGATATAGTCATGGTCCGCCAAACACGTCAGATGTCAGAGAATATCATCTTTGGTGCAATGCTTGGCTATTATCACTTTTGTTGGGACTGATCAGGGGGAAACAGAGAAGTCAATGGACATAACGTGGCGGTTGAATCCTACATTAGGTTCCAATGTTGTTTCAGTCAAACCTTCGCCTTCGTTAATAGCAGCTGCATGGTGAGATTTCAAACTCTCGTCTTGATGCTATCTATACGACTTTGAATGCGTTAGCAATCGCAAATTGCTTTCTTCAAAAGGATATAACTTCTTTAAGGCTGCTATCCATACAATTTTTTTTTTATACAATACAATTGAACGCATGGACACACACAAACGTGTTAACATGGGGCTTAAACTCGATACCTCATCGAAGGGTTATGGCTGGCATTACCACTGGGATAACTAGTCGTTGACATGAAAAGGTGTTGATTGGCTCAGAGGGTTCAACAAATCAATGCCTCTAAAGAAGCATGGTCTTCAAGCATTGATGGGAGTGAGGCTACCCTTCAATCACAGGTGGCTGGTACAGTCAAAGTATACTAAAGGCAGAGATAAAAGTGGGCAGTCCGAGCAATCAGTATAGTTGGAGGAAGGAATAGCTCAGGTTCTGGTAGCAGGAATTGGACTGCACACTCTTCATTGTGGATGAGTTTTCTGAAGATATTGTGTTATTTTGCATAGTGAAGTTGTATAGTTTAGTTCTCCTCACCCCCTGCTACAAGTTGACATTTTAATTAGTTTAGAAAGTATCAGGTTGAGGGATCATGTGGAGAGATTAAAGTCTCATTGGTTAGTTAAGATAGCTCTATCTAAAGGGTCTTTGGTTAATGTACTTAGTGTGTTAGACTTGGGTCTCTCTCATAAGTCCCTAAAAATTTTTGAAATTTTTGTCGCCCTTCTAGAAAGGATTTGGTCACCCTAAAAGGGTTAATTGTTCCTTTTGTTGTATAGTTAATTTATTAACAGCCATGTTTGTTAGAAGGTAGGGGGAGGGGGAGACGGAGATGCACATGCAGAGGTAAGACTAATTTTGGTTGGTACAGATGGGGAAGGGAGAGGGAATATGTCCCTCACAAACGATGAGTAAATGTCTCTACAACAGTTTTTCATGAACAAATTTTAACAATGTTGTAGTGTAGACGATGCTGGTTAGTAAACAAATAATAACATAGTTATAGAAAAATACTAGTTAGTAAATGAATAAGGGGTTAGAGTGAAAATTTGTCTCGAAAGTTTTCATTTAGGAGCGCTACACATCTAGAAGATTTTTTTAATGCAAATTTATTCTGAAAGTTTAAAATTATAGCAAAATTACCTTGTACAGTTAAAAAATAATAATATTGACCGTTAAAGTAATGATGTTTATTGTTATCATTTTTAATTATAGCAAATGATTTTGCTACAATTTTAAACTTTCTGGAAAACCAAGAGGGATTGGTCTAGTAGAAAGGATTATTCTCTCACAATGTGGCCAATTAGGATTCAAATCTCTACTAGGAAAAATATCCACATTTAGTGCTGGACAATGCATTAAATAGGAATGCTTTCAATTTGAGGATACTAAAACTTACCCCCAAAAAAAACTCTCGAGGCAAATTTGTACTAAAAAAACTTTTGAGTGCCCAGTGCTCCTTAATAAAAACTTCTGAAAAAAATTTACACCTTAATCTAATGAATAATGAAGAGTAAATTTTTATTACAGTTTTGTCAAAATGAAGTTAAACAAAAGAAGTTTACTAAACGAATAACACTCCATCAAACTTCTATTGTATTTCCAAAAGATATTTTTTAGAGATAAAGCATATAATAAACAAATATAAGTTAGTAACAAGCAAGGTAAGAAAAGGAAAAAAAAAAAAAAAGATGAAACGGGCTGAAAAAACTAGTGAATCGACCAGTGATTGGATTTGATTTGAGTGCTAAACCGTCCAAAAATTGAACCGATATCAAACTAGGATGAACCAGTGAAAACTAGTGTGAACTGATGATAAATTGGTTTGGATGATTTTGTTGCTTCTGATCCTTCTCATTCAACTCCTAACATTTTAGTCACTATAGACTAAAATAAATTTTAATGATGATTTTGGTATCAATGATTATTAATTTTAGTTATTGAGAAGTTATAAAAATCAAAATTCTAAATATTGTTATACTTTGTTATTGTTACACTCAAATTATTGTTGTATTTCCTTGTATGAATTATTAATATTGTTATATTTTGTTATTTTTAATTAAATTATACTACCTCCGGTCGTAATTATAAAAGCTAGTTGACTAATTTGAAAAAATTAAAGAAAAAAGTTAAGTTAGTTATTTGTAATAAATATGTGTTGTCTTTCTTAAAATATCTTTGCTAATCAAGTGTGTTGGCTAGAACTATTATTGTTAGAAGGACTACCTCGAAAAAAATACATAAATATGAAAGACAAAATGGATTGAGATCTTATATTTAGAACTAGAATAAAAGTCAAACAAAGTTTTATATTAAGGATCGGAGATAATATTATTTTATTATGACCAAGTTGAACCCTAATGTGATCTATTAATTCTTAAACCACTATCTTAACCAGTTTAGTATTCAGTCTGATTTTTTATTTGTTTAGTAGCAAGTGTTACAATAAATGAATAATAGAAAGCAGACGAATTATAGAGGTCAAACCAAGTTTAAGAAATTGGCAAAAAAGCCAAGTTTAAGAAATAATAATTATAACCCAATAAAGGCTAATGAACATTACCGCTGGCCGTTTGCCCAAGTGTACGTGTGCTTGCGTGGAATGTGTGTTGCGGGTTCGAGTCTGTCATCTTGGAACTCACTGTAACTTAGAGCCGGTAATATGGGTTGGACCCGCGGGTCCAACCAGCCAACCCGCCAAAAATGACGGGTTAGGGCTGGCCAAAAACCAACCCGCCACTACCTTGAAAAACATAACCCGCATCGCCATAACCCTAACCCGCGGTGGGTTAGCCCGCCAACCCGCGGGTTAACCCACTTATTTTTTTTTATAAAAAAAATAGATAATAAAGGCAAAAGTAAAGTAGATTTTCAGTTCAAATTTTATTGTTATTAGAAATAATTAGATAAAGAGAGTTATTCAATATTGCTCATTGGTTTCATTGAAAAAAAATGTGTGAACTTGTGTATTATCATGTTGAAAAATTAGACAATCATATACTATTTGTATTTTATTGTGTTGTAATTTTTATTTGGATGTTTGTAATATTTTATATCATTTCTAGTGTTTTTATTTTGTATTATATATAACTGCTAACATTTAAAAAAATAAGAAAAAATTAAATAAAAAAAAAAAATAAAAATTTTGACGGGTTGGTGGGTTAGGGTTGGTAAAATGCCAACCCGCCAGAAAACAGGCCTTTTGAGCCCGCACCACATAACCCGCAACCCGCCACGGGCCAACCCTCAACCCGCGGGTTGGCCTGTTTTACCAGCCCTACTGTAACTCAAAAAAAAAAAAAAGCTAACGAACATTTACTGACTAATTAGTAGAAAAATATAGATCAATAAATTGTTTTCCCATGTTGAATTTGGAAAACTTAGCTTCTAAATCTTCTTAAAAACCATGTAAAAAACATTTTCATTTTTTGAAAGGTTCATCGTCTTACTCTTTCACAAGAGAACTAAGATACTAAAGATTTAAAATATAAAAAAAAAAAACAATTTGTATAGATGTTAGAACAATTGTTTGATTCTGTTGTCTCTCTGTTTTTTTAGTGCTCTTAGAAAAATTGCATAGAAAATTTTTTCAAAATAAGTTTTGGAAACAAAAATTAAAGAAAAAATTCTTTTTGAATCATTATTTTGGAAAAAAATCTAAAATGGCTCACTTATTAAAGGCTTTTATAGATGTTGGTGTAGGATTTCTTAAATTTTTTTTTTCCAGAACTTGTTAATCGTCTTGATTGCTGTTCTTATTTCATGTCTGATATGCACCGCTTACAAAGTTTATTAACATCATTTTGCTCATTTTATTAAAAAGAACAAAACAACGTTATTTGTCTGTTTTCTAATTTTGTAGAACAAAAAGTCATAAAACATCAAAAAGATGTTTTGATTTTTTTTGTTTTTTAGAACAAATGCTAACAGTTTTGTTTTTTACAACACAACCAAAAATTTATTTTTTTTAAACGTATTTTTTAATTTTTCAAAACAGAAAAACTATTTTAAAAACAGGAAACCAAATAGGCCGAAACTTTCTTGAACATTTTTTCGCAAACTCCTTATTCTTCCACT